TTAGTCATGTCTAACCTTAAGCCTCCTACACGCAATATATGATTTGGTCGGGGATAATTAACAGGATAATTTAGTCAGGTCGGACGTCGTATCAGTTCGTGTGTATAGACGTGTCATCTGACTGATCCTATCGGGTATTCGGATCTTGTCGGGTGGCCTTTCCATCTGACTGTCCGACCGCCCGACCAAATCATATAGTGTGTAACACATAGACGTATAATATTATAATATTATACGTCTATGGTGTAACACTGTCTGGCGGATTTAGACTAGTGGAATTAAAATTCATCTGACCAAGTCGTGTCGTCTGTACACAACACCTGATTTGATCATATTGTGTGTAGGGGGCTTATGCGTCTGTACCCTGTGGTATATATACACTATTGTCTATTGTCAATAGTGTAACTGTCAATACATTATTTAGTATTAATGACTAATTATAGGAAGTTAACATCATGATGTAAAGAGGTCTTCTTTAAATCATGGTGGTTAACAATAGCATAATCAATAAAATTAGAATTAATTTTTTCTTCTTGAAGTTCCTGTTCGTTTCGAATATTGATAATCATCATAGACATATTAATACACAGATATAGATAATAAACTAGATTGCTAAGTAGTGATATGACGTGAAGTTATTGTCCGCCATTTTGAGTAGGTCAAATGCATGCCGAAATCCCCCCAAAATTTGAATTCTTGTTTAAAATATTTGAAATGTAATTTTTTTCGTCATTGATATTCATTTTTGTCACAATAAATTATGATTGTATATTTTCAAAAATACATTTTTTGAATAAAATATTTATGTAATATATAATTATTTAAATGTATGATTTAAAGTTTTAAACAATAAAGGAATTATTTGTTAAAACCAGTCTGTTGTTCTTTAACATATTATATTATATATTATTGCCTTTATAAATATAATATATACTATAACCTATCTATAATATATATTATTACCCATATATAATGTATATTATTACTTGTTATTTGTTTACACTTTTTTCATAGAAAATAGTTGTGGAGTATACAGTATAGCACTGTACATAATATGTTAACTCCTGTACAGACCTGTGTATACTTGTTGTAAATGTTATACTAGGCGAACAAAATATTTACTTTCTACACATGAAAATTTTAAGTGTAATTTATATGTATTGTTAGTAACATTTAATATTATATTGTATCTTTATAAAGTATAAAATATTAAATTTTGTTAAAAATGCCTATGACGTGTTGTGTCGAAAAATGCTCTAGTCGTGGTAATCGAAAAGCCAACAGCCCAGGAAAATTGCATTTTTTCGGGTAATTAAAAATTAAATAATAACAATTAACACAATGCATTTTAAAAATTTATCAAATTAATGAAAATATAATTTAAGAAAATCATTTTTATAAAATAGATTTCCTTCTGATGAGGTGAAAAAGCAAATGTGGGTTAAAGCTATTAAAAGAGAGAACTTTGTTCCTACTCGTTATAGCAAAATTTGTAGCAAACACTTTACTAACAACGACTTTTACCAAGGGTACTTTAGAAAGTTTGATTGAAAGAAACATCAGTACCTAGTATCTTCAATAGTGATCCTGTGAGTAAAAGAAAGCTGACATATGGTGATCACACTTATTTTAGTACAAAATCACCTTCTCCAAAATTAATAGATCAGACCACTGAAAATAGTAAGTCTTATATCAAATTATTAGGTTTATGTTAAGTATAATAATTTGTTTTTATAGATATTGCTGACTCAGTGTCAACAATAAGTAGTTTAAAATGTTCTAGCCCAACAAGTGTAGAAAACTATGGTGTTTTGGATTTGTCAATAAAAAATTCAATTTTTTTTTGATCAGAAATCACCACCTCCGAATTATTATGTGGAAACTCTAGGTACAAATGCAATTTAATTATAATTTTTTTCTTAATTGCCATCTTGATTACTAATTTATGCTTGTGTTTAATGAAATTATGAACTCCCAAATTAGTCCAAATTTGTCAAAATACCTATACACCTATTTCCTAGTTAAGTAACTGTTTTATTAAATAAAACAGTATCTACAGAATAGTATTATAATACACTTACCTAATTTATATGTTTATATACAAATTATAAACATAACATAAAATTATTTAATAGATCAACATCAAAATAATAAATTAATTAGACAACAATAATTTCTAAATTATTTAGCAAACGTCAAATAATAAAATAAATTTGTTACCTTCGCACATTTTAAAATTTAAAATTTAAAAACATTAATTTATTACTGTCTAAATCAGAAATCAGTGAGAACTGAGATATTGGGTTATCAAAATTATAACATGATAAGATACGAATGACCTACTGGCTACTAGTAATGGCGGATGTGTGGCTTCAAACGTTTATACGGTCAGTATAAGGAACCTAGCAATCTAGTTTATTATCTATATCTGTGTATTAATATGTCTATGGTTTTAACACCCGTGTTAGTGGCCACTGGGGTTCAGCGACCCACACTCCGGCCAACTAGCTACGTGACAATGTGACATACTGACATATGATTGGCCATTGGCCAGCACGTCTTTCGGGCTTTATGTAGATAGTATGGTTTACGAAACGACAAAAATTTGATCCTGAATGTCCTTACAAAATAGTAAATACTAAATACCTTAGATCATAGATCGATCTTATTTAGGTACTTAGTTCATGATAATTACCTTAGATCATGGGTCTAAGATATTATTACTAACCAAGTTCCAAAATATGGATATATTATTAAAACCATGGACAATGGACATCATAATATAAAATAATAATAATATAATATAATAGATGATATTTTAAGCTGATATATATAGATGATATCGCCATAGAACATTAGAACTGTAAGCTGAAGCTGTTATATTCTGTGCTGTGATGGCCGGCCCACGGACTAAGATATAATGGACTGGAAACGAGCAGCTTATCATAATATCATGGCCACGAATGTATGTACAAGAGGCAAAGTGCGGGGGGTCGCTATCTGTTCTTGGAGTTCACAGCGCCCTCTGTATTTAACACGGACTAAGATACAAATTGTGTAGCCAAATAAAACCACCGGTAGCGCTGAAAACTTCAAGAACAGTATTCTTATCAGCTAAGTGACATCTTTTCGTGGCCGTCCCCCGATCCCCGCCGACCATGTCGTTTCCAGTCCATTATATCTTAATCCGTGGGCCGGCCATAGATAGGAGCCCTTATCAATTATCAATTGTGAATGCCGAATAGTGATTACGCCAGTACGCCATTGGCATTTGGGATGAACAAATAATAATTCTAACTTTAAAGTTAATTTTATATTAACTATACTTATTGTATTCCTTGTAATAATCACTATAGTTATAGTTATAGTTTGTACCAAAGTCTAAGTTTATAAATTCTAACTTCTTTTTGCAATGTCTCAAGAAAAAGTAATTGAAAAACCTCTGCAACAGTTTGTTGTGCAAGCTCAAAAATTGGAAGGTGACAGCTTAGTGGAAGTCATTAAACAAGCGTTGGATTGTGTTGACACATTTGTGTTTGCGGAACTATTAGAATGCCCTAATGTTATTGCACTGGAGACCACACCTCATGCACCATACCTACATGCATTACGTATGTTTTCACAAGGCACGTATTTGGATTATTTGGACAAAAAAGAATATTTGCCAGAACTCAGTGAACCCCAGAAGAAAAAACTGCAATACTTAACAATCGTTACATTAGCCAATAAAATGAAAAGAATACCTTATGATGTTCTTTTGAAAGAGTTGGATGTTGATAATGTTAGGGACTTAGAGGACCTAATCATTGAAGCGATCTATTCTAATGTGGTTTCTGGCGAACTTGACCAACAGAGTGATTATCTGGAAGTAGATTGGACAGTTGGCAGAGATGTTGGATCTAATGATATTGACAACATGATAGGCACATTACAGCAGTGGTGTGATTCATGTGAGAATGTTCTTTCTACAGTTCAAGCTCGTATTGTTGATGCTAATCGAACTAAGCAAGATGTACTAAAACACCGTGCTGCTGTCGACAATGAAGTTGCTAGCGTGAAAAAAGCAATTAGGACTCAAATACAAGATGAAGAAATGTCAGTAGATACTAGCGGTCCTACAAAAAAAAGTGTTAAAGGAATAAAACCTAGCGGAGCTAAATTTTGGAACAAGTAAATAACTGTACATGCCTAATAATAATTCACACATTACATTAATTTATAATGATTATAATTATGATTATTTTTTTTTTTATATATATACAAAACTGTTTTAATGTGTATAAATGAGCAGACTTAAGCCATTAGTATAATATAATATTTTTCCTAATAGGTAATCTTTTTTATTTAATTTTGTGGTAGATATAGGTACAGAATATACAAAAATTAATTTTTAGATGTATGATGTACCTACCAACCTATCATAATCTTTATATTAATAAAGATTTTTTTTTATTATAAATAGCGTTTATTATGATTATTATTTACCATCTCTATAAAATATTTTATCGGCAAATATGATGATTGGTGAGTTATGATATTTTATTGAATTATTTACAAATACCTACTAGAGTACTTAGATTAATAAAAATCTACTCTGCAGTATGACTCAACTAGAGAATCATTATTTGAGTAGATCTGTAAGCCAAATTATTTTGTGACTTAAGATAATTCCTGAGAGTGAGAAGAAGGATAATTATTTATCTAATGACAGGATGCTATGAGTTAATTTATTATGGATTGATGAGTATTGTGTTTTAGCTATTTAATTATTTAAGGTTGGTATTTTAAGTCTTTATTAAGTTAATTTCTTTAATAGCTATTTACCACGGTGACTGTGTTAATTAATATATGTAGATAAACTGAAATGCTTGGATGGTTTGGCCACATCACACAGCTGAATTCTAGTAAAACACGTTAGATTGAATTAATTTATGTATTGTAAGTTAATTTGATATGGAATGATCAATGAGTTATTTTAATAGTGGTCTGAAGAGGTACAATCTATAGTTAACTGTTTTTCATTTGTGTAGACTTGGGCCCCAGCCTCTAGTCCACAATGTTTTACTTAATTGACTGTTGGTACCTATTATTTTGTTATATATTTTAGATTTCATAATAAAAAGGAGGTTATATTTGTATGGATTTTGAGTTTTAACTTATTTATTTTAATTTTCTAGCAATTAGTTAGGAATGTATCATGTCAAAGTGGTGTCTCTAACCTTTTGCCAACTGTGACCATCTTGTGGGGTACAGATATGCAGTTATTAGAGTGTCAGCATAAGGAGGCGTAAAATATTTTTGGGTATAATGAGTGAACACGGAATAGAGAATATATGTGATATCACTTAATCTTACTTAATTTTTTAACAATTTAACCATTCATCTATATCAACAAAATACATAATATAATAAAGTGCAAAACAAATGTATATTGAATATTCTAACAACCTAACACCATATTTTAAAAAAATATTTATATTTTACATTATAAAAACTATAAACAATTGAAATGATTTAATAACATTTAATAACTAATGAACAGGGGTTAAAGTGAGGGGGGCAGGAGGACTCAGTCCCTCTACCTCTGACGGCGATTAAGAAGCGTCCCCTTTAACAAATTAGGATTTTATACATTAGACATTATACATAAAATTATATATGGAACGCTTAAAACTATATGGAGAATGTCCCCTCTAGAATTTTTTCCCTCTTTAACCCCTGCTAATGAATAATACAATATAATAATTATTAGAGTAGAGACATATTGATAAATGGAAGAACATTAACAAATTAGCCAAAAACTTTATGTTTATAATTTAGTACTACCAAGTCCAAGTGTTTAGTGTCGATAGTATAATAGATAAAATACAAATTTTAACTACAAAAATATTTAAATATCACATGATTGGAAAATAGTTATTACATATATTAAGTTATTGTAATGTCACCTCTAATTTATTATTTTATACATTAATTTCTATAAACAAAAATATTTCTTAAGCCTACTTGAATGTATTGATTAAGAAAATCACAATTTCTTTAAACATTGTCCAACTTCATTTTCATTATTGCTTACCTATAAAAAAAATTATGTATCTATTTAGTTAAAATATTTTATTTTAATGCTTATACAAGTATACAACACTCAAATATAAGTTATTAAAGTTATTAAATGAGTGATCATATAATTATTTTACATACTTTTTTAATATAATTTTTCTTATAAAAGTCTCCAAATAAAACCAACATTGTAATAATATAAAAGACAAATAAATATTTCATCCATAATGGCCAATTACACCCACTTTGAATGGCATTTATGCCTAATGGTAGAGCAAATGAAAATTGAGCCTAAAAACAAAATTATCAAAATATAATCTAGGAAATGAGATTATAAAGACTTAAAAATAAGTAGGAGTGACAATAATTAAATAAAAGCTATCAAAACACTTATATCATTAAAAATCTAGTATATTAATTTTGACTTATATATTTTATATTTAGGTATATAATTATTTTCAGCATCACCATTACAAGCTAATGCTAATAGATGATGTGTAACTACAGTATGCTATTATGCTATTTGTTGTTTGATATTATGTTCATGTTATATTTGGGTACAAAATAAACAATTATTATTATTATTATTATTATTATTATTATATTGTACTATGTAAAAAAATTAATAATTATTTCTTAGTAGTTACTTAATTTTACACTATTATTTAATAAAATCATTGTATATTTTAATGTTTACTATCAACACTGAGCTATTTACACCAAGTAGTCAAAATTATATTTCTGATATAGATGAAACATGAGAATTTTAAAGTATTTATAAATGACATAACTAATTAATTCCGTAATAACTGCTTTTTTCATTCTAAAAACCAATTTAAAAAAGCTGATATGAGAACTGCCGTTAAATACTTATCCCTAGTACATATTCATTCATCCCACATCAGGGAAACATAATATATTTATAATTTTATAGATTTGATATTAATACTAGATAACTTCAATCTAGTTAGTTTCTTTAGTGAAGTTCTTATAATAAAAGCTTCCTATTTATTATATTCAATACATTTTATGTGTTGATAAATAATTAATTATTTTATATTATAATCAGGCTTAAACATTTAATAATATTATGTATGATAAGTGTCGAGAGTTCGAGACATAAAATTATAAAATTTAAGGTTAAAATCTCAATAAAGGGTAAAAAAAAATTGTCAATAGGTACTCAAAAGTCAAATATACTAAAAACATTATTGAATTAATACTTTGAAACACTCAAACACACAATGTAAATATAACTCCTTCAAAAATTGTAAAATAATTTGTTAATATTAGTGCAGTAAAACTTGCTTAAGCTCTCTACAAGAGATCAGCTCAAAAGAGTGTCTTATGCGGTCATTAACTAGTGTAGTAAATTTCTAGTGACTGTCGAGAAACAGTGTCTCAGTGAGTTTTACTGTATTACCTTATAACTAATATATTATATCTGATCTATAACTATGATAAAATAATGATTATTTTTACCAATTGAATGATTGTAACATATTTTTTGTATTTAAAGATTTTTGAGCATTGTATTGCAGCTAATGCATAATAAATATACATTATGACATGTACAGCACTGTTGATTAATATCGGTAAAAATGCTGAGCCGCCTGGTACATATTTTGTTCCTAGCCATGAGAATATGAACATTGTTGAATGGTGGTAAACATGAAGAAATGACAGTTGATTATCTTTCTTCCGGAGCATCAAAAATATAGTGTCCAATAATTCAAAAAATTTAATTATATAATACAACCATACTGCTGTCGCTATCTGCAACAAATATATCCAATTGAAATGTCTTATTAATTGATTATATAATTTAGTGTTAACTTGAATTGAACACATTTCAAGTTAAGTATTTTATATTCTAATACAACTATATATTTCTTTTAACCAGCCAAAATATGTCTTTATTTTCTGTTACTTCATTAAGTTAATTACAAGTATTTTCTCAAATGAACTAGAATAAAATATTTAATCCATCATAAAACTAATAGGTAACTAGGTAAGTATAACATGTAATTTTCATATGGAAAACCTATTAAAAACACTTTTATATTTTTTTAACTGTATCCAAAATCAATATGCAAGTGTTAAATTATAACTTAATACCCTCTTCATGTTGTGCATAGTATTTTAAGGGTAAAGTTATTTTATCTGTTGGGATTGAAATTTAAAATTAATTATTATCAACATAAATTTACCCTGAGCTCAGCTTCTGCATTGACATAGGTTATCGGCTGACACATCCAACTATAGTTTAATTTAGTAGTCATCAATATCAACTGGAAATATAATTATATAAGTTTTTACATACTAATTAAACATGAAATAATATTTTTATTACTTCTATTATAATGAATACATTTGCTATTATCATCATTATATTGTACATTATTAGAATATTTTTTAAACTGTATGCTGTGTGATTTTTCATGAACCGTGGAGTCAGCCATACTATTAGAAGATAACAAAGGGTTATGGTAAATGTAGTAAAAACCGAATTTACCATCCACCATCCTCTGGTTCTGGTATCTATATTAACAATAAAAATACACATTGTCACAAATCTAAAATAATATCACTAAACATATTGTATTAATTTTTAATATTTCTTTATTCTTTAAACTTCAATTTAATTATGACCAACATCAAACAAAATTACCGCTCAGTGATTCGGTCCATTGATTAAAGTGTTCCACTTGTTCAAATAATGTAGATAAGTTATAATCCAAACGGAATACTGTAAATTCTCTAAAGAAATTTTAATTAATCATACATCATTAATAAAAAAGATTTAGAATAACAGAAAAATTAAAAATGTTCCTATGTATAGTACCATAGTAAAACCAAACTAAGAAATCTAAGATTTTGTACTCCCCCCAACACACGTAAAAAATATTTTATTAACATTTGTTTTCTACACTTTTAAAATAGAAGAAAATTCTTTAATTTTATCTAAATAGTAATAATTTGTCTAATTCTAACGACGCAAAATGCATGACTTGTATAATTATAATACTAATAGAATGTTTCGAGGTATAACTAGTATTAGACGGCGCTCTGTATAGGCATTTTACAGTCATACGTGTATCAATAATTAATACCACTATTATGAGTTAATAGGACGTTGTACCCACATATTGTGGGGTCTATATTTAATTTTCAACTTTAAAATGCTCATAACTTGCTTTAAAATGAAAATGTAAAAGAGCATACGATGGACCGAGGATGATCTTCTTTATTTTAAAATTGATAATACTTAAATTTACTCAAATATTAATAACAGAGTAAAACGGATTCTCCTGAACACAACATTTGTCATTTAAAATGACTCATTTTATGCGTTACTAAGACGGCAAGAATACATGTGGGTGTAGCGTCCTCTTAAGACTTCGAGGTTTGAGACTTGAGTAACCCAGTCAATTTGTTCGCATGGAAAAGCGATTTTTCTTATTTTTAATCCGTTATCATAAAACCATGTGTACGATGATTGAGATGCACCTTGTATATAATATACAAATTTACCATACACACTATATGTATATTAAATCAATGACTAATAATATATATGTATGTAAACCTATATCTAATAGTGATCAAATGTCGTTATTTCTTAAATATGTTTCTAACAAACAATGTATTATGAAAAAATACCTAAAAAAAAAAAATATATTGTTGTTATAAATTTTATACCTAGTTAAGTAACGTTCGAAATACTTGGAATTGACAGAATAACATAGCTATAGGTGTCAAAAACTTACTCGTTTTGTGCTGTGTACATTGTAATTTGTATTTTACTATATATTTCAGTGTTCGTGAAACGTATAAGACTGTTATATTTAATTATATTAATATTGCATAGACTATAATTGGTACTGAATAAAAAAAAAAAATGAACGGTCTGTGTAAAGGCGTACAAACGATATAATAATTTATTTTTTACAAAACCAAACCCACTTTTTTTTTCAAATGTGAACGGAAACGTAAGACGAAATAAAACGTGTAATGATGAGTACAATACTTTAAAGTGGCGTGCGTACTACAGCGTACTATTATATAAACACTCCGACGCCGACCGCCGTACCGGCGAACGAGAGAAGATCAATGTTCAAAAAACTATTGCGCATGCTCAGCCGCAGCAGTATACCTACGGTGCATTAAGTATAATGTATAATATTGTTATAATATAATATTATTATATTATAATATATATTATTAACCACCGAGGGTTGTAAGTTGTAACAAACAGGATATTAGGAGGGTGTGTCGTGTGTACTGCGTGTGTCTGCGTATATATTAAAACAAAAATGTAATTATCATTGGGGTCGTAAATTTAATACACTAAAAAACCTTTAAAAAAAAAATACAATATAAATCCTGAAAAATGGATTGCAATTTAAAAGTTTAAATTGTTTAAAAATATATAGTTTTGTAGAAAAGAAAAAAAGAACTACATATTTAATTAATTTAAATACCTAGTCAAAAAAAATTAAAAAAAAAATCATGAAATGTGTGTACAAAATTTAACTGATGAACATCACATATTAAAAACATCTAAAAAGTAACGAAAGGGAAAAAAATTATATAATGAGGTCAAAAAAGAGCTTGAAAATCAAAAATAATTCGTTAGTATATGCCTAATGACTAATGAGTAATGGTTAATTTAAACTTTGTAATAAGAACACTATGTACCTACTATATAATAAGCTATAAAAGGGTTACGTATATATTCCTAATTATTATATTTTAATAAGATAGCCATGCATAGGTTAGGTAGAGGGTGTTTCCTAGTGTTCCGTCAGTAGTTGGTACTAACTACCTACTAAGTTAAGTTTTAGAGAACGATTTATACATCGCATATTATGTTAATGAATCGAATAGAAAACCTATTTCGCGTTTTGTGATTGCTTCCATGCTGGATTCTCAGATTATTTAACCTCTCATTTTACTGTAAATATGTTGCGGTAATAAATAAATAATAATAATGTTTCTTTAATTATTTATCTAATACGAAAACACTATAAAACAATTATATGAACAACTGTGAAAAATGAGTGATTACGTATTAATATTTCTCTTAAATTACCATTCTAGTAAGTTTGTAGAAATATGAGCTATTATAATAGGTAGGTATACCATACTATAATGATAAATTATGTTATTCTTACGCCTTATTAGCATTGAATTATTTCAAAAAAATATATAGTTAATTTGAATAATCGTGTATAGGAATACAACAGGTATAAATACCAATGGAGAAAACTGTTTATAATTTTATAAAAACATGTCACAAATGTACTTAGTTGGTAAATGTATACTATGTCTATAAACATAATAAATATGTAGTTAAATGCCTTAGCTAAGTAGCTATTAGATATATATAATATGCTCAAATTTTGTTTGTGATTAATACAAAAGTCAAGGCTGAAAAAATCCAAAACAAAGATCTTAAAATAAATATAAATTGTTTTCAGTTCTTATACACTTTTTGTTTATAATAATAATAATAATAAAAAAAAAATACAAAGTAAAAGTTAATTATTTTTTGTCGATTTACATGCTAAATTTTTCGTGTACTTGTAATTTTTATAGATGTCTGTCTTATTTGTAGTATCCTATAACAAATATGTAATTATTATTAATAGTAATTAGTATTAATAAGTAATAAAGTAATAAATTAATAATATAATATAATATGTATGCAGTCTAATCTGGTTGTATGTAATAAGATTTCTTATAATATTAAATCGAGGAAGTCGCTCACCTGTAGATAGTAGGTAAGTACCTATATCACTATATCACGTTTAAGTGTACTTTATCATTCAGTAGAGTTCCACTGTACATTTTAATGAATGTGTTACATTTGATTTTGATGATGAAAAATCGTAAACGAAAAACGATTCTGTGCGAAAATGGAATGCCTCTACTTTTAAGATTAATTTATAATTTATTTATTCTACTAAAATTTATTTTTCTATTAATAGTAGGTTGTAGGTACCTATATAGTATATACGGTACCTACCTATGTTTAACCAATTTTTTCTAAGACATGACACACATGTTTATTATTATTGTAGGTATTAATTATTAAAATATTAAATAGATAGGTACCTATTATTACCACTACCATTGTTATTAGGTAACTTACAAGTCAATAGCAGGCAAGGTAGTAGATGGAACCAGTATTTGGGATGGGTTTAAAATTTTAAATAATATTATATTATTTTCATAATATAAAACAATTAACTGTGTTTAGCCAATTTTGTAGCCAATTTTGGAACTTTTTGTACTTTTGGGAGGGGAAACAGTACAAAAAGTTCCAAAATTGGCTAAACACAGGGTAAAACAAAGTAAAACTACTGTGATTGCGGGGGATGCCCCCTTTGCCTTTCCATGGAACCACCACTGATAGCTAGGTTGAAGGTAGCGACAAAATAATGGTAATTTTCGTTATGCTAACCAAAAATGACTAGGGCCTTAAGGTATATCGGTACATTAATACGTTATGTGTATTGTAGTGATGCTACTTTAATCGCTAGGTATACTACTAAAGCAGCGTCGCAACAAATAGCACTCTACTACCGACCATTGCAAAAAAGTAATACAAGCCATTAACATTGACCCCCTTGTAACCTACTGTACAGCAGTGCGACATCCACTTACCTGATTTTTTCATATAACTATAGGTATAATATTATTGTCATCTTAAATCTTTTGTTTTATACAAATAAAGTAAATAGCTAAAATGGGTAACTAGACTTAAATATCGGCAAATAGATAAACATTTTGGGGAAAATTAACATAAATTTAGTTAAAAAAAATATTTGGAGGAAAAAGGAAACCAGCCTTTTTTTTTGGGGGGGGGGGACTATAGTTCATATTAGAAGAAAAAGGCATAACCAGTTGAGGCATATTCGTATACAATAGAGGCTGATATTCATTACCATAGGTAAACATCTCATATACTTCAGAGGGGAGTACCCAACAATGTAAGGTGATAGGTAAGTAGGTACTCTCCCGTCCCTATTTGTGCTATTTAAAGTATAATATATGGAAAATCTGTATTTATATAAGTATAATAATTATTATACCTATGTAAAGATATTCTTTATAGTAGGTACCATATAATTATGTATAATGTATTTATGTATATGATATTACCTTTTGAACATAAGCGTTTGCGTAAAAGTTTCCAAATAGCACAATAAATGAAATCATGTAAATCACCAATAAATATTGCATCCATATGGGAAATTTGCATCCAGATTTAATTCCATGGATACCCAAAAAAAGTGCAGTGGTAAATTGAATCTAAATATTAAAATATATACGAGTTCATTGAATCATCATTTACCATATAAATTAAATTATAAAAGTATTATAAGTCTATCATTTATACTAACCAATTGAAGCATAGTTAAGTACTTTTTCCACCATAAATACTTTTCAATTTTAGGGCCAAAGGCACTGAGTGCATAGTACGAATACATAAGTACATGTATAAAACTGTTTACCATTGCAGGCAAAAACGTAGAGCCACTAGGCACCCATTTCACTCCAATCCACCACAAGGAGAACATAGTCGAATGATGATAGACATGTAAAAAAGTAAGCTGTTTATCCTTTTTCCGGAGAATGAAGAAAATTGTATCACAAAACTCGAGGAGTTTTGAAAAGTAATACCACCAAACAGCTTTCAATAACTACAGTACAAAACATATGAAGTTGCAATTAACTTAAATTGAGTAAAAAATAATTTAATAATTAAATTTATTATTATCCATGTAAGCAAAATAATTAAAATATATATGTATGTTTAATTTAGTAAAATCATAATATATACAATATACATCTACTTATATAGGTAGTCAGGTAGATATCAAACACAATTAAGTTTTAAAGTTCATCTGAACAAAAAAATGGCCAATTACCTACTTAGTTTATATAAGTTACCCATAAAGCTAATTCAAGTTTTGTTTTTAACGGGTATTAAATACAAATAAAATTATAGTTATATCGATTAGGTATAATTTATATACATTAAAATTATGACAAAACTTTAATTATCTAATAGATATTATTTAAAATATAAATGGTAGCAGGTAGGTAAATAAGCTAAATCATTATATAAATATGTCTATTTTTCATAATTAATTACCCTCAGTTCATCTTTGTTGTTGATAAATGTTAGTGGTTGACAAACATAACTGTAGCGTAAACGACTAGATGCCACCAGTAACTGAAAAATCAAATGTTTAAGTCGTAATATATACCTAACATCATTTAAAGAAAGGTTAAGCATACTTCAATAGCTATATATAAATTCAATAATGTCATAAGGATGTTGTATGGTATCAATATGGGAGTGAGTTTGAGTGGTTTTCTACTTTTCATACATCTCGGACCCAAACCAACGATTATGAAATAAATGACTGTATAGATTAGGGTTGGCGTTGGAGAATCAACCATCAACCAACCTTTCGTTCTATCGTCTGTAAGAAGAAAGAAAAGTTTACACATAGTGTCATAATATATTAATTAAAATAAAATAAAAATTAGAAAAATACTTTAGTTATACTAATACTGCCTATCTTCATTACTACCTATATGATATATATCCAGTGACGTAGCCAGGTAGCCAGGGGGGAATTTTGGGTGTTTAAACACCCCTCCGTTGAAATTTTCCCCGCTAATAAATATATTGTTTATAGGGTTCGGGACTCCTTGTATGTTTTATTGTAGTGGTTAAGTGGTCGTAGATTATTTTATATAAGTTATATATTTGTCTTACGACATTTTTTTATATGTCTTATCAAACAAAATTTGAATTTGTATATTTTAGTAAAAGTGTATACATTTGAGTGATTTTTCGCATATTTTGTCAAGAAAAATCATATTTGGATAACATTGAAAAATATCTTTAAAAATATTATGTTTGGTTATGTACAATAGGCGCTATTTTTGAGATTTGGGGAGGCTGAAACCTAAAACCATACTATTATAAAATTGAATAAACTTTAAAAAATGTAGTAAATGTTTTGGAGGGCTGTTGCCTGTTAAAGTTGTTGGTGGAGCTTGGCTAAGGTTGGCCCTATTTTTGCATATGGTACGTAAGATACTCTATATAATATAAGTCTCTTTGTTAAAACTGTAATTGACATCTAGATTCTAGATTGTACGAAGAATTTAAAATCAGTAGATACGTGTTCGTTTATCACGGTGTTCGCATATCACGTTATTGGTTATTACTTATTTATTAACCTATAGTACCAAAATATTATGTTTTATGAATTTTTTAAAAATTATATAAAAATGTAGCTGCATATTTTTAAGCATATTTTGACAATTTTGACTGCATATTTCTATAATTTTTAGTACAACAAGTCAAGTCCCGAACCCTTAATTTATTTATACTCGAAAACTGTAAAAACTTGGTTTTAATCTATACTTAAACACCTCCCATTTCATAATCCTGGCTGCGCCACTGTATATATCTACATTATAATAGTAATAAAGTAATATAGTAATATAACCACAAATAACGATTCTGTGCTTAATCTGTATTATTTTATTATAGATACCTATTACATGTGGTATGTAGGTAATAGGTAATGTACCCTACTTACCTGAAACCGATAGAGACCATTGATAAAATGCATTAATTTTGTCAGTTACTGACGAAGAAAAATTCATTTTTGATGAATTATATTTACTACACAAAACAAAAATAAAAATATTAATATATTTTAGCCTTGAAATATTTTAATTTATAGTTACATTTTGACTTTTCTGTATAATGGTTATTATATCTTCTACTTTAATGGATTTTAACGATTCAAAATAATTGAATCAGTAAACATGAGTCAACTGACATGAGCTGTACATTGAGTACTGATCTGGAGAGAACTGTCGAATGACTATGGCATATAAAAGTAGCCAGTTTACTGCTATCGGTATGATATTAGTATATAGGTAGGTATAACAAAACTGTTTTTATTATGCTGTTCGACCGTATATGATCGTCTCTCATCCTCCCACCAAATTTTTTAGACGTACGATGTATACCTATCACTCAATTTAAAATAAAATAGGCATATCTGTATAACTTATAAGTTGTTTTATAAATCAATCAACTACGGTCTTCGAATATAGCCAAATGTATGAGAGTACCCAAATTATATCGACTAGCAAACTAGGTATCTAAAGCTGGGCAAGTTAACCAATTTTTTTAACAAGTTAAAGTTAAGTTATCCTAAAGTAAAAAATAACTAAGCTAAGTTAAAGTTAGTTTTATAAAGTTACTGAATTTGAGTAACTAAGTTAAGTTACAAATTTTCATGAAAATAATAACTAAGTTAAGTTACTTTTATTTTTTTAAATACCTTTAACTTACTCATAAACGTTTTTTTATCTCATCGGAGGAAATTGATTCAAATATTATTATTGACTATTGTCAACATATAGATATAGATAATAAAGAAAAGGGAGGAAAACTGAGTAGAATATTATCACTTATTCGTATTTTATTCTGATTACCACCAACTGAATATATATATATATTATATTATATAATAGACTCCAAAATCGTCTCATTTTTGTATCAGTCTTGGACTCTTGGAATACCGATAAAAGTCTGACGGCCTATCCATTTGACATTTCTTTATTATCTATGATTGTTAATATAATGAATAATAATAATAATTAACACATACCTGGATAATATTATAAAATACCAACTTACTTTAATGTGTGTTCTTAAGTTTGAGTTTGATGTTCGATGTACTTATAATATGCTCTTCAGGACAAAACAATAGGCACTTAAATCTAATATTTTGTTTTTCGGAATCTATATTAATTTGCTTATAATACGACAATATCTGAGGCCATTTATCCGTCAACACTTCATTAACGTCGGCATTTTCTTCTCGAAGTTCGGTAGAAGACATAATACTTGGAGAATAAAAATAAACTAAGTAGGTACCTATTTAGAGTAAAACTATGTACTTAAGTTATTATAACAGCACCAAAAAAAATAAATAGATCAAGCAAATATTAAATTATGGTAAACGTATATTATATTACAAAATCAGTATCAGCACTCGGTACTACAACGCATTAACGTTCAAAGGATTACGTTGAAAAATGACCAAATTTACTGTTTTAACTTGGAACCCTCATAGTCACACACTCACGCCAGTTGAAACACTACTACATGAGCTGATATTATATAATATAGAGACTTATAAAGTTGACAAAAATTAATTCTTATACATTATTTTCTTTATACCCCAGTATAATATTATAAGAATGTTGATTGTTGAGTACAAACTTCTTTATTTTTAACAGGCAATTTTTAGATTCTGAGTGAAACGATGAATGTATTGATTTTACAATGATGTGTGTTTTTTTTTGTGTCTGTCAGTAAAAGTGCTTGGATTTTCTTCATCAGTAGCTTTTCTGATAGGAAAGTGAATCTAGTTGGTACTTTGGGGGGTCAAAAGTATAAATTTCACAGTAGTTTTCACAAGCGCCGGGAAAAACAACATAAAAATTAAGGGAAAACGGGAATTTTTACGCAAAATTGGTTTTCCAAAAAATCGATTTTGGTTTTTGGTGTAACTCTAAAACAAATGAACGTATATACATGAAATTTTCACTGGTTGTTTATATTTGCATTTTCTATACACGATAACATTTTCAAAATATTTTGACTCTTTTTGAGCTGTTTATGGACATTTACAGATTTCAATTTTTTTTAGTTTTTTTTTTCTATAAATATCAATAAAGTTTTATCTGTTGGGCCAAAAAGTGTAAAAATTTAATACAAGGCTCCTGATATATTGTTACAAAATCAGTTGAAAAATATTAAAAATACATAGGCACAATTTTTTTTATAAGCATTTAAAGATCAAATTTTGACAAAATTTATCAAAATCTCGAAAATTATCAATCATTGTAATTAATAAATTATAAAATTTTTAGTTTTTATAGCTAAGGATTGCAAATTCAACACAAAGGTTCTCGTAAATAGTTCATACTGTAACCAAAAAATCTGAAAAATATATGAACACAGTTATTTTTTACAGACATTTTAAATTCAAATTTGGACGAAATTACATATTAAAAAACCTAGAATAACTATTTTAGTTATTTTGTTGTGATTAAATAATATTATTCGTGCCTCGTGGGTACTTGAAACTTCTAAATACATATCTATGATAGTATCATGGTTTTTGTTGATGTATAACGCGTTACCAGTACCTAATGGATATTGTGATATGATTAATTTGGAATTTATTATAGGTACCTATTATAGGTCAATTTTTTGTTTAATACCATAGATATGTATATAATATGTCTTATACATAGACTGACATACCGTCTCCGCTCAGAATCGTTTTTCTTATACAATGATATTATATCGTTGAATTCAAATTTAATATCATACATTATACAGTGACCCACTTTGTAATCTACTGTACAGCAGAGCGACACCCACTTGCCCACCTTTTTTATAATTATTTCAAAATTTTTAACACGCAGATGTACCAATAGCAAAATCGACTTTATTTTTTAAAATGGTAACTACTATATTTTTTAATGGATTCCGATAAAGCTTTTTTTCTGAAAATTTTGATAGTCAAATCATCGATTTAAACGTATACCAATTATTTCAATTAAAAGTATCAATGCATATTTTACTAAACTTTAGAGGACCATAGTTAATAAACTAGAGAACCAAAATTGATGATTTGACTATCAAAATTTTCAGAAAAAAAAAAGCTTTACCGGAATCACACCTGCGTGTTTAAAAATTTTAAAATTTTTATAAAAGAATTGCCTGTTAAAAATAAAGAAACATTTCTTTTTCGTTTTATCGAAATTCTATGTCATCGAACCATAATCGTTAAAACAGACCGTGTATAATGACATAAGATACATATAGGAAGTTTCTGATTCTGAATTAGGTATATTAAAGTGTATGTCTTAAGGATAGCGAAGACCACTAAAAATTTATAATTAATAAAATTAATAGATACCTATATTGGCTATATTAATATATTATGGGATATTGGGATACCTATATAGGAGGCAGATGACCGGCGAACGTGCTTGGTGAATCTTCCTATAGGGCTGTATATATTAGAATAAAACAATTATATATTTATATACTAGGTAATTATTAATTATTAATTTAGTTTATTTCACTTATAAAGCGTGGGTAAAACACCAAAACTTGAATCTATTAAACGGCTCGCAGGCTCATCTGTCATCCTCTAAAATGTCAGTTTATTTTTCATGTGTTCAAAATACTGATTCTAGGCCACCGTAGTCTATATTATTAAAACCATAAAAGTTATCAAATGTTGAGTACTGTTATTTTCCATTACCTATACTTTCATGTAGTATGCTGTTCATTTATTTGTGTATGGCAAACATATTAGCCACACTTTCAGAGTCTCTGTGACCAATTTACACATTGTTAGTGAAATAATTTATTGGATATTAGTCATCAATATAGTCTCTTCTTGTTGTATACAAAGCAGTATACGAACGTAGTTTAAACCACGTGGCTTTGTATGAAAGCATTTATATAGATATACATACACAGAGGTATATCACATATATATATTATGTATATCTACACTATTTACGAGTTTACGACTCAACTATTCCATTCAATTGACTTGATTGTCACTTAATAGCTAGGTATACTTGCCTACATATTAATATAATATACCTATTGGAAATATGTAACGGGGTTTTTCGCTTAGTTTAGCATTTAATGCACCAATATAATATGATTGATAAACAGCTAGAGTTATATATGTACGCTTGTGCTTCGCACGTCTTTACAATAATAATAATAATAGCTACTATAATATCACATTCACGACTCACGAGTCTATAGATAATTATAATGTATATAAATATTAAATATATATGTGTATTATAGTCTATATAGGTAGCGGTTCCAAACCTTTTTATATTCGAGTACCACCTACACAGTTTGAAAATTGTCATGTACCACTTGAGGTCTCGACCAAATACCGTTTTTAGATTCTGAGTGGAACGATGAATGTATTGATTTTACAATGATGTGGGTCTTATGTTTATTTTTTTTTCTAGAAATATCAATAAAATTTTATTTGTTGGTTAAAAAAGCTTGAAAATTTAATAGAAGGCTCCTAGTATATTGTTTCAAGGGCAGATGAAAAATATTAAAATTTCTTAGTCACAGTTTTTTTTATAAGCATTTAAAGTTCAAAAATTGACAAAATATGGAAAAATCACGAAAATTAGCAAATTATTTCGTGTTAAGAATTCGTAAAAATTTTTCTTTTTAAATCTAAGATTATAAAATGTAATACAAGATTCCTTATAAGATTATTTACCTTTATCAAAAAAAAAATGTCTGTAAGAAAGTCAAATTAAATTTTTATGAGCGTTTGAAATTCAAATTTTTACAACATTGGATATTCACTCGATTTCTCATGTAGCGATTTCCTTATTTTGTTGTACTTAATTCAAAAACGAATAACAGTAGATAGATGAAAAATTCACTGAATGTTCATTTCATATTATCTACCGCGTGTCTAGATATAGAAGTTTGTGGTATAAGCCATAAGGGCCGTGATTACATTTCGCAGTTATCAAAATGTTATCACAAACATCTAAAAACTAAAAAAAAAACATTTGATATAAAATATTACAATTTTGCAATTTGCACTTGGCACGTTTTTCGTTTAAATATTTGAATTATAGTATTAACTATTTAAGTTTCAAATGTCTAAAGCTTTTGTATTTACAATTGTTTTTCATGTTAGCTAAATATTAAGCAATAGGCGTTGAAGTATCTTGAAACAAATATTACATATTTTGTATAATTAATTGTGAAAAATGTCTAATAACGAGGAGAAAACTAATATGTCACAAGAAGAAGTTTTACATCAATTTGTTAATCGAATATTTAACAATGATCAATTTCGAGAAAAAATCATGATGCCAAATGTAATGGGACGGCCAGTAGTAAAATCGATAGAAGAAAAAACTTTGGACTCAATTACCGAAAGTTGTGCATTTAAGTGCATTCTAAGCGGTGTGATGGGTAATACAAAAAGATTTTTGTGTACCATATTTTAAGTACAATGTATCAGTAATAGGTCAATGTTTAAAATGTATCCCTGTATTTACTTATTCCTATTGTTATTTACATTTTAACAACAATGATATTTATTAATTTGAGTTTTATAGGTTTTGCTCTTGGTGGAGCCATTGGTCTTTTTACTTCCAGTGTAAATCCACAAATAAAACCACCGGGTCAGCAAGAAACAGTCAAAGAAATTATACGTGAAATGAAAACTTCTTCTCTTGGTTACGCAAAAAACTTTGCTTTACTTGGAGCCGTCTTCTCAGGCATTGAATGCATTGTAGAAACGGTGAGTACTTGATAATGAAAAGCATTTTCCTGTATTTATTATTCAATGTATTCATTTTTAAACTCATTTTATAGTATAGAGGTCAATCCGACTGGAAAAACGGTACTTATGCAGGTGGAATAACTGGCGGATTAATAGGATTTAGAGGTTAAAATTTAAAATAATTGTTAAGTACCTATATAAATATTATATGATTAATGAAAATATTTTTATTTTAGCTGGAGCCAAAGCAGGTTTACTCGGTGCATTAGGTTTTGCTACATTTTCCACCGCAATTGATTATTATATGCGCAATTCATCATAAATATTGTTAAATAGTTTTAATTTAAATTAATTTTATTGCTGTAAATAAAATGTAAGTAGATCCTTTAATTATTGTAGTAAAAACAAAACACTGACTTAAATAATTGTATACTGATTTTTATTTTATTTTATTATAAATTATTAAGTTATATTTACCAGTATAAGTTAGGGTAATTCAAATTTTGATACCGGTATCCGGTATTTATTTACTATTGGTATCTACGGTATTACCAAAAATATTGTACGATTCGCACCTCAGTAAATTTATAGTACATAGTTTAATTTAGTGTTTAAAAGTTTCCAACCTAGGATTTGGCTATTATAATGTCATTACTATTATATAAAAATATTAAATGTAGGAATACGGTATTTTTGGTAATTACCATGATGCGGTATTTTCAGTAACAACGGTAATTACAGATTCACGGTATACCGATATTCTTAAATAGCAAAAATACTTAATATCGGTATTTTTTAAAAACCAGTAAGTACCGGTATCCGGAAAATATCGCCAGCCCTAGTATAGGTGTCCTATGACCTAACAGTTTAATACTCCTTTAAAATGTAATAATTTATAAAGATTGTACAATACATTCCCTTTATGACTTCAACATTTTAAATCAACAAAATAGATATTGAAATCAAATAAACACTGTTAAAGAGAATTAGTAAACATCAGTGTAAATAAAATAGAAAAAGTATTTTGTATAAAGAAAAAAACACAACCAAAGAATAAAAAAAAATGTAAATTTATATATAAATACTCAATGAATGCATTTTCTGCTTATCACTTTCATTATTATTTTAGATTCTGAGCGGAGCGATGAATGTATTGATTTTACAATGAAGTGTGTCTTTTTCTGTCTGTAAGCATTTTTTCTAGTAGAAATAATTCTTTGATTTTCAATTTCAGTATTTTCTGATGGAAAAGTGAATCTACTTGGTACTTCCGAAATCAAATTTAAAAAGCACCGAGAAAGGCCAGGGCAGCAATTGCTGCCTAGCTACCTTGACCAGGCCAACACTGAATTTACCACGCCTGTGACTGTACAGCAGAGTGTTACCCACTTGCTTTCTTTTTTATTATTGTTAATCATAAATTTTGTTTTTATTTAAATAACCTAATTATAACTTATAATTTATTAACTTATTTCTCTGGTCTATCAAAGTTGTTAAAATTGAATTCTATCATATTTCCAAAATAAAATTCAAAAAATTTTTTATTTGTTTGAGTTAAGAGGACGCTACACCCGCATGTGTCGTCTCCGTCTTACACACGTACGACATAGACAAAACGCGTTTAGGCAGTCTGAGTATAACTCGCTCAATTTTGGTTCTAGAGTAAAAATACCTATTATGAAATTGAATTGTGATAATATTTCTAAGGGCAAGACGCTGCGGTTTTTTTAAAAAATTTAATTTTTTAAAAGTCAAAGGTATTTTAAAAATGGTGAATTTTTTTCTATTTCTAAACGATATAATGAACGTTATATTGGGTATAATGGAAAAACCGCAGCGTCTTGCCCTTAGAAATATTATCACAATTCAATTTCATAATAGGCATTTTTACTCTAGAACCAAAATTGAGCGAGTTATACTCAGACTGCCTAAACGCGTTTTGTCTATGTCGTACGTGTGTAAGACGGAGACAACACATGCGGGTGTAGCGTCCTCTTAAGTTTATTAGAGTATACAGTCCTTATAATAATGAGAACTAAAATAAATAATATTTTATATTATACTATTAAACATTTACAACATTTAAAATAAAAATATAAAATGTAAAAGTAAATTGTGTATCAAAATAATTAAAGTATTTATTGTTATATAGGCATGATCATAATGTTGTGCTGTGATACTCCCTAAAAAAAATATAAATCATATTGATCAATAAATTAGAATAATATTGAAAGGGCTGGCCCGATGGGCCATTTACAATAAATAAAGCATTATTTAAAGAATTATATAAATAATCATATCATTACCTTCTAGCTTGTTCCAACTTTGCTTTTTCAAATTTTACATCATTAAGCTGTCTTTTTAATGAGCTTATTTCTTTTTCAAAACTTGTTATTGTAGAGCGACACATGATTAATTCATTTTTTGTTCTTTCCCTATAATATTTAAAAAAAATTCAAGATGGGTTTTATTGTATAAACCAATCATATAATTTATTATAATCAATTAAATCAATATTGATTACAATAAATTTTTTTTTTATACTTACAGATGTTCCCCAAGACTTTTTGATTTTTGTTCACTATCTTCCAGCCTTTCTTTTAAATCATTTTTGGTAATGGTTAATTTCATACATTCTTGTCTAGAATCACTCAATACTGCTTCTATTGTGGTTATTTTTGACCGTTCTCTTTCTAGCTGTGTATTCACCACAGTTAGTTCATCTGCTAGTCTTAAACGTTCTTCTTCAGCTTTATGCTGTAAATTTTCAACATGGCCTAAACGTTCATTCAAATTAAACTTAGCTGAATCTACACTTGAACATATTTCTCTGCAAGCATGTAAGTCTTGTTCTAATTTAGAAATGCGGTCGTTTCCAGAAGACAATTGCGATTCTAATGATACTATTTGGTGAGTCAGGTTAGATATCTATAGATAAAAAAAAATGAATTTGTACAATTATAATCAACTGTTGGTAGTTTAATTTCGAATTGTAATCAGTATTTTACTTGTGATTCATAACTGGATATAAGATCTTCTTTATCCACAAGTTTACGTTCCAAATCAGACATTCTATGTTCCTTTTCTCTGAGAAGGGTTTTGGTAGATTTTGCTTCACTTTCTAGGCTGTAGTTATTATTTTCTAACTGAGTGGCTTCACAATTTAATGTTTTAAATTGTTCTAATATTTCATCCCTTTCAGATTCTTTCACTTCAAGTATCTCTTCCACTCGTCTTATTTCTAATACGTATACTTGTAACTGCATTTTTAAATCTTCAGCTTGTTTTTTAGATGCTTCTAATTCAGCACGCAAGACTTTATTATCTTGAACTACCATATCTAAATCATTTTGAAGTCTCCTAAAAAGACAAATTTTATTATTTAAGAGTATTAAAAACAAATAGTAAAATAATTTATACAAATGTTTTTAACATAAAAGCAAGGATATTATTTAATAATTTTATACATATTAATATTTATTTTGATTTATTTATGTTGGTCAAATATAGAAAATACTAAAAATTGGTGTAAAATCTTCTAATATTTTGTATACATACTTCTTTTCTTTTTGCTGGCTACCAGAGTTACTTTCAAATAATTTATACTCTGCTTTAATATTAGAAAGTTCAAGTTTTAAGCTATCACACATCTTTTCAGTTTCTGATTGCAAACTTAAAGCGTTACTGTTGAATACAAATACACAATTACTTAGTGTTACACAATAATATATAAGAGTAAAAATTAAAAGCTATTTTTACCCAATTTTTTTAGCAGCATCTGTTAGTTTTGAATGTAACGATTGAATTTGTTTTTCTTTATCAGTAACTAATGAATCCAGATGGAGAATACGCTTGGTTTTTTTTTCCAATTCATTCTTAAATTAAAACATTTAAACTTATAAAATGTATGTCATGTAGTTTTTAAAATCCTATGAAATAGTTAAAAATAAATACCTAATACATGAACCTTTTATAAATGGTTTGATTATGAATCACACTTTATTTGTTGATAGAGGAACCAATATAGTTAAATAAAATATTTTTAAATATTGTTTTTTATAAACTGAAATTATATTATACCAACCGTTAGAGTATCACGTTGATGGTCAATAGCCATGGTATTATTGTGAGATTTATGTCGTTCTTGTTGTTCATCAATTAATTGATCATTAAGTTTATTATTTATGAGTTTTAATTCTTCTATTCGAACCTGTGCACGTTCTAATTGTTCTTCTGTAGCATTTTGAGCAAACTGTGTAGATTGCAGAGTCCGTTCAAGACGATCTTGACAGCATCTAGTTATCAGTTAGATTAGTATACTTTAATGGACTGGGGGATTTACAGAAGGGGTCCGGGGTACTAATATTTTGAAAATTGTATCAAGTATAGGAATCGATAAAATAAATATATGATATAAATCTCAAGTGTCTACAGTTATTCGTTTATGAATAACAACAAAATAAATTAAGAAAATAACTTCAAACGCTCTTAAAAATTTAATTTGACTTTCTTAAACATTTTTTTTTTAATTTCTTTGATAACCTTATAAGGAATCTTGTATTACATTTTAAAATCTTAGATTTAAAAAGAACATTTTTAGGAATTTCTAACTCAAAATAATTTGAACATTTTCGTGATTTTTACGCTCTTTGTCAAAATTTGAACTTTAAATGCTTACAAAAAAAAAAAATTGTAACTGGATTTTAAATATTTTTTAAATTTCTTTGTAAAAATATATTAAGAGTCTTTTATTAAATTTTCAACCTATTTCATCTAACAAATACAATTTTATTGAAATTAAAAGAAAAAAAATTGGAAACTGAAAATGTCCGTAAACAGTTAAAAACAAATCAAAAAATGTTGAAAATGTTATCGTGTATAGAAAATAGTAAATACTAATATAAAAAACCAGTGAAAATGTACTTTTGATCATCCATCATGGCAGTAAGTCTTTTCAACTCTGCTTTTAAATAAGAAATTTCTCTGTGATATTTCTCTGATTCTCGTTGTTTATTGGCACTTTCCCAAGTAAGTGAACGTTGTTTTTCAATCAACTGGTGTTTTTCATCTTCCAATTGTTTAACATATTCCCGTTCATTGTATTCATTATTTTTTACAGATTCTCTAGTTTTCTATAAAAAAAAAAAATATAATTACCTAACATCAATAACATTAATGGTTTATGTTACTGACCCTAAGTTGAGAATTTAAGAATTCAATTTCTTTTTTTAAACCAATTATTTCTTCAGCTAACTCGTCTTTGTCTCTTTTGAGCTTTAAAATGTTTTGTTTGTCTGATCTTTCATACACTTCTCTTTTCAT